CAGGGAAGGACAGGAAGGCCTGGCGCAATATGGTTCATGGGGTCATGAAGAGTCGGACACGACTTAACGACTGAACAACATAAGAAGGGGAGGAGATCCAGCACCATCCGCCTTGCAAGGTTCTGCTGTTGCAGCCCATCTCAATAAAAGTCGGTTTAGACTTCTTGCGGAGGTGATTTCCTGGTCTGGTCGACCTGGTGGGGCTGGCCCATCCTTTGCCAACCTTTGATCGTCTTGCTTTATGCAGGAGTCAAAGGCTGCAGAGGTGCCAACGGCGTGACATAGTGCTTGAAAGTACAGGATGCCAGTTGTGGAGTTGGTATGATGGTGTCAACATACCCGGGTTGACCTCTGACCCTTTGTCAGAAGCCTCGCAAGCAATTAACCAGCCTGCTCGTTTGCTTGCTTCGTTTCTGCCGTTACAAGAAAGGGGGGGGGCTAGAAGGTGAGCCGTTAGGCGCAGAGGGACTGTTGTCTGTTTCTCAGGAATGCCCAAGGCCGTACCAGCGTGAGACCAGGAGAGACCCAGGGGCACGTGCAAGAAGGCATGAGATAGGAGGGGGCAGGTGAAATGGGAGAGGGGGTAAAGTCGAGTTTGGCACACGCGGGCTTTTAGTTTCAGCAGTGCTCTAGAACTAAATGAACTTTTCTTTGAACCTACATTGGTTTCAAGGGGAGTTGCTTTTGTTGGGAGCAGAGCACGGCAGTTTCTTACATATTGCAAGCCCATGCTTGGACCCCCAGGCATTCAAGCCCCCCATATCCCAGGAAAACTCACCGGGTGCCCTTCAGCCTGTCATTCTCTTCTTCTTCTCTCCCTCCCTCCCTCCCTCTCTATCAGCCCAGCCTACTCTACAGGGTTGTTGTGGGAGTAAAAGGAGACCCCCATGTATTTATCTGGGGGGGGTGAGGGCTAGAAAATCAGCTGGCATGTTTCTTTTTTTTAATTGTCACTTGGCTGAGTGACTCTGGGCCAGTTGCTCAGCCCAGCCCACCTCACAGGACTGTTGTTGTGGGGAAAACAGGAGGCAGGAGCATTAGGTACGCTGCCTTGAACTGTACAAAATAAAGAGAGGTTGTTATGACGGCTCTTCCAACCTCCCTTTTCGTTGCAGAAAAAAAAAATTGGGTGCCAAGTTTGGCCGTGTTGATTGGGGGGGCAAAGAGGGATGTGGGGTTACAACTGTGCCCTGTGTGCTAAATAGCTAGAGAAAAGTCAGCCTCCCATTAGACCTAGCTAGAATATGTGATGCTGTGGATGATGGGAGTTGAAGTCCATCATCAGGAGAGTTACATGTCACTTGTCCTTGGTATAGAGCAGTGTTTTTCAACCTTGGGAACTTTAAGATGGGTGGACTTCAACTCCCATCATCCACAGCATCACATATTCTAGCTAGGTCTAATGGGAAGTCAGGCTGACTTTTCTCTAGCTATTTAGCACACAGGGCACAGTTGTAACCCCACATCCCTCTTTGCCCCCCCAATCAACACGGCCAAACTTGGCACCCAATTTTTTTTTTCTGCAACGAAAGGGGAGGTTGGAAAAGCCGTCATAACAACCTCTCTTTATGTTGGACAGTTCAAGGCA